ATGGTAAGATGGATACCTGCCCCTCGGATCATCGCCCTGTTGTGGTGACCTTGGGGAGCATTGGCCCTCGTCAGACTCGAAGCGTGCCCGCGCGGTTGTGTCGCGCCCCTGAGTATCAGATAGTCGCGCGCGAGATGTTCCTGAGCCTCCCTTCTGACCCCCCTCCCGCTGCTCGGCTTGCGTAGGCCGAAGAGAGGATCATCGCGTTGTTGCCGGCGTTTAGGAGTGCAATCCAGAGCCGGCCTGCGAAAGGCCTTGCTGAACAGCATTACTGGACCATGATGGCCATTCGGGGTGTACGATTGCAGCAGTTTCGTTTGTGTGCGCGTGCATTTGCACTATAACCGCATGTTGAGCGGTACTCTGACGTCGAGAGTCCGCGCTGTCTCGATCTGCCCGCTCTCTGCCAGCATGCGAGCCAGCTTCAGCTACAACGGGTTGACGGGGAAGAGCAGGAATTTGAGGATGGGGGCGAGGTTGCCAAGGAACGTGCCCGTTGCAAGCTCCAGCGTGTGCGCCAGTTTTGCAGCAGTTCCGACGGCGGGTCTTGCTGGTCGGCATTCGGGACGAGGGTGGGACTGTCTGCAGGGGCAATGATGATGCGTGCCGTGCGCCGTCTTCGCACTGGGGCGAGGTGTTTCGTGCCGCTCCGGTTGACCGGACACTGTGGTCTGGGATTCTACAGCGCTGCCAGCAAGTGCAAGACCTGCCTGCAGACCAAGTGCCCGAGTGGAAATTGTGTTATGCGAAGCTTGTGGAGAAGACTAGGTGGAGGAGGCGTGCGGCCCCTGGGAAGGATGGACCACCGTATGCTGCGTGGCAGGTGGAGGAGGGGGGTGAGGTTACATCGCGATGCGTATGAGGAGCTGTATGAGAATGGGAGCTGCACTCTACCTGCGAACATGCGTGAGATGTTGTTGTTTCTTCTCCTGCCGAAGGGCTCATGCCCTGATGATGCGGCGCATGGGGTTACGAGGTCGCCTGGGACTACTCGACCGCTGGTCCTTTGCGACTCCGATGCCAAGTTGATGTCTGTTGCTTTCGGTTTGCCACTCGCAGAGTTGTCTGGGTTCACTGTTCATGTGGACCAGCGTGGGGGTGTGAAGTGAAGGGCCATTTCGCCGAACATCGTTATCGCCGACCGATGGGGTGTCCAACAACACTTGGGAGGGAGCCCGAATCGTTTGCAACTGTTGACCTATTTCGCGGCAGCCTTCCCATCGCTGCACGTTGCGTGGCTTGCTCATGTGCTGGCAACCATGGGGGTGCCGCAAGCGATATGTGCGTTCTTCTGTGCCCTCTATGCTAACAATCGTGGCGCTATCATGCTGGGAGGGGCTGTGACTGATTATGATGTTGAAATTGGGCGGGGGGTGCGGCAAGGGGGCCCGTCTAGTCTGTGTCTCTTTGCGCTTGCGTTGGACCCAGTGATGCGCTGGCTGCTACACCGTGGGGCCCACCATATGGATCGGTTACTTGCATATTGTGGCGACCTTATTTTCTTTATTGTTGACGCCTTATCTGGACTTGGGCTTATTTTGCAGTTTATCGGCTCCCTGGAAGGCCCCATTAGGCTCAGGCTGAACCTGAACAAATGTGTTCTCTTGGTTGTCGGCGATGCCCCGTTCCAGACTGTTCGGGGTCTGGCGGATTCCTTGGGGCCACAGTGCGCTCAACTTAGTATTGCACATGTTGCCAAATATCTGGGGGTGATGATCGGTCCTGAGGGTGCTGCCCATGCGTGGGATGAGCTGATCCCGCGCCTTCTGGACCGTACTATGGATGTGCGTCGTGCGGGATTAGGCTTGGCGCAGAGTTTGAGGGCGTTTGCTGCAGTATGTGCTGCAGTTCTATGCGCCGTCTCGTGCCTTGCTTGATGCAGATTGTCGGTATGCACAGCTGTTACCGAACGGTCCGTGGAATGCGATGCCGACGGAGCTACTCGAGAACCTGAGTTTGTGCGGTGGGGGTGCCAGTCTGAAGCATCTCCCTCATATCAGCATTGCAGCGCGTGCGAGGTGTGCCGAACACTGTCCCGACTTTTGCCGCGATTGGGAACTCTTCGTGCCTTTGGGCGCTCTGATGACTGTTGCATTACTCGTTTACACACCGGTTGGAATACGAAGTGTATCACCACTCAGATGGCGACTGCACGTGGTACTATGTTCCCTATCCTCCTTTCGCTCCCCCCGACGACGCCTCGGAAGGCTATCCAACGTAAGCTCTACTCTTCCCTTCAGCGCATGTGTCGTCGTCCTGGTCGCAGTGTCCTCGAGATCCTGTCGGCCAGGCTTGATCGGTGGCCCCCCAAAGTTGACCCCTCCTGCATTCCGAACACGTTGTTGCGACTCGAAAGGGTTAGGCGTGATACTGTCCCGCATCTTGCCTTGTCTCAGGTGTGGATCGCATGCCGTGGGCTTTGCGCGGCCTCCCGTTTCAGGTCTGCGGAGAGGTGCTGTATGTTTGGGTGCCGAGGGATGGGGGCTACGGATTGTTTACGGCATTACGGGATATGCCCGGTACTGCGCGAGATTCTGGCACCTAGTGTTCGTGATGAGCTACCCCCTCACGGGGCTGACTGGTTCTCTGACCTCCCTTTTTTTGACACCCCGCCTCAGCCCTGGAACGGATCTCCGATATGCTGCGATGTGCGAGGCCTTTTACTTTACTCACAACTCCTGGAGGAGAGGTGTGAGAGTGTCGCCTAGACTGATCTTTGAAGGACGCCTCAGAGGCCTCCGCCGCAAGCACAGCGCCATCCAGCTTGCGATTAACTCGGTCTCCGGGTGATTTTGACGCCTTGCTGTTGCTCCTGTCAGCAACGGCTGCGGGCCTGTTCCTGAGCTGCTGCTGGGGTGAGGTTGCCTCATGTGCCTGACCCGTGGACTCCGAGGCCTCCTGAGCTCCCAGTGGGTCCAAAACATACCCTGCGACGTACCCAGCCCTTTATATACATGTGGTGGTTACATTCGGGACCGCTCAACGCTGACGGGCATGCTGAAAAAGAGAAAACTTGCAGTGCGGAAGAAGAGAACCCATCAGTGAACTCAGAAGAGCGCAGCAAGAAGAGCAACGGCAACGCGTAAGACGTACCTCTGCTGGGCCTCCCAGGAGCCCACGAAAGCGGCGACAGTTGCGCAGATCGCAGCCCCCCAGGGCACCGCGAGGTCTCGAGGTGGCCCGCGTGGGACGCACCTCCGCTGGGCCTGCCAGGAGCCAGCGAAAGCGGCGACAGTTTGCGCAGATCGCAGCCCCCCAGGGCGCCGCGAGGTCTCGAGGTGGTCCGCGTGGGACGCACCTCCGCTGGGCCCCCCAGGAGCCCACGAAAGCGGCGACAGTTGCGCAGATCGCAGCCCCCCCAGGGCGCCGCGAGTTCTCGAGATGGGACGTACCTCCGCTGGGCCTCCCAGGAGCCCGCGACAGTGGCGACAGTTGCGCAGATCGCAGCCCCCCAGGGCGCCGCGAGGTCTCGAGGTGGTCTGCGTGGGACGTACTTCCGCTGGGCCTGCCAGGAGCCAGCGAAAGTGGCGACGGTTGCGCAGATCGCAAGCCCCCCAGGGGGCGGCGAGGTCTCGAGGTGGTCCGCGTGGGACGTACCTCCGCTGGGCGTCCCAGGAGCCCGCGAAAGTGGCGACAGTTGCGCAGATCGCAAGCCCCCCAGGGGGCGGCGAGCTACCAAGGTGGTCCGCGTGGGGCGCACCTCCGCTGGGCCTCCCAGGAGCCCACGAAAGTGGCGACAGTTGCGCAGATCGCAAGCCCCCCAGGGGGCGGCGAGCTACCGATGTGATCCGCGTGGGACCCACTTCCGCTGGGCCTCCCAGGAGCCCACGAAAACCTCCGCTGGGCCTCCCAGGAGCCCACGAAAGTGGCGACAGTTGCGCAGATCGCAAGCCCCCCAGGGGGCGGCGAGCTACCGAGGTGATCCGCGTGGGACCCACCTCCGCTGGGCCTCCCAGGAGCCCACGAAAGTGGCGACGGTTGCGTAGATCGCAAGCCCCCCAAGGGGGCGGCGAGCTACCGAGGTGATCCGCGTGGGACCCACCTCCGCTGGACCTCCCATGAGCCCACGAAAGTGGCGACAGTTGCGCAGATCGCAAGCCCCCCAGGGGGCGGCGAGCTACCGAGGTGATCCGCGTGGGACCCACCTCCGCTGGGCCTCCCAGGAGCCCACGAAAGTGGCGACAGCTGCGCAGATCGCAAGCCCCCCCCAGGGGGCGGCGAGCTACCGATGTGATCCGCGTGGGACCCACCTCCGCTGGGCCTCCCAGGAGCCCGCGAAAGTGGCGACAGTTGCGCAGATCGCAAGCCCGACGGCACGAGAGAAGAGGAGAGGGGAACACAGGAAACAGGAGAGGAGGAGGGGAGGAGGGGGGAGGAGAAGAAGGAGGCCGGGGCGACCACACTGCTCTATTCAAAACGAGTACCCAACCACAGGAGGGTTGGGACAAATTGTCTGATGCAGTCTGGGTTCGGGCGATTTTGGCTCATCTTCTACTGGCGTCTCTCTTCCCTTTCTTTGTCCTCCGCCTGCTGTTGGGTATCCCTAGCCTCCTCGTTCTCGTCTTCGCCCCCTCCCCCCCCACTGGCTCAAGCCCCTTGGGCTACAACAGACTCTTCTCCCCCGTTGGGTCCTGCGTGCTTCGCGCTTTGCCTTTTACAGATGGCTCCCGCTCCGCCGGCTGCCCAGGAAGCCGCCAGTGGCATCGCGGTCGAGGTGCGGGCGGTGGCGGAGGCGGAGGCGCTGGAAACCCCCAGACTCCCCGTATTGTTGATTCGAATGGCTTGCGTCATTCTGCCGACTTCTAGATGACGGAATTCTTGCATTCGTGGGTTTTATGGGTATGCTGTGGGGCCAGCGGGGTGGTTGTCCCCCCCGTCGCTTTCAAACGGGATTCTGGACGTCCCTGGGGAGGGAGGAACCAAGGGGAGGGGGACAGACAACCCAACATCTCACACGCCTTCTCACCCCTGGCAAGCGGGGTCGGCGGATTCCGGGGTTCATGTCCACAGGCCTCGAGGTGGAGACCAGTTCCCTTTGCCCCGCATGGAAAGACCAGCGGATCTGGCTGAACCTGCCGAAGCTGGGCTTCCAGGCTATGCATATGAAGGGCCTCTGGAGTGACGAGGAGGGCGCGTCGCTGAAGAACAAATGGCTTCAGCACCTGATGCTGGCCAGTCCGGCCGAGGATACGGAGGGCGTCAGACTCCGGGCGGTGGAGGGCCTGCCTGGGGTGGTCAAGGGAGGCCAAACGTACCTCAGAGCAGACGCACCCTGGAGAGAAAAGCCCTCAGGACACGCCCCAGGACTCCCTGGGGGGCAGATCTGGGCGGGAGCTGCCCTGTCTAGAAACCTGGCCCCTGCAGCGTGTCACTGGGGGTACGCCACCCCGGGGGGATGTCTGGGCCCTCCAGAGGTGGACTTCCTCGACCCGGACAGCCTCTTCGGGCTCGTCGCGGAGTCCACGTACGTCTTCGCGCCAGTGATCAAGGCCCTGGAGGGGATGGGCTACACCAGGGGCGAGGACCTGGACGCCGCCAGCTACGACTTCCGCCTGGCGCCAGGGGTGCTGCATGAGCGGGAGGGCTATTTCGACCGGCTGAAGGGCCACATCGAGAGAATGGACCGCCAGAACACCGGCGTGGTCCTCGTCGCCCACTCGATGGGTAATAAGGTGGCCATGTATTGTGAAGGCCTTACGGCCAGCGCCGCCGACCCTGAAGGGGCCTTTGGGGAGGAATTCTGGGGCCTCTTGGGAGCCTCTTGGGGGCCTCTTGGGAGCCTCTTGGGTCCTCTTCGGCCTTCCTGGGGACCTCTTGTGGGCTTCTTGGGGCCTGTTGGGAACCTGTTGGGGCCTTCCGGGAGCCTGTTGGGGCCGAAGGCTCGAAATGTCCGTTCGGGTCCCCGTCTGGGCACGCTCTTGAAGTCGTCTTAGGGGCTTCTTGGGACGTCTTGGAGACGTTGTGGGGTGTCGTGGGGTTCTCTTGGGTTGTGTCGGGGCCCTCTTGGAGGCCTCTTGGGTCGTCTTGGGGCGATCGTGGGGGCCTCTTGGGCCGTCTTGGAGTGGCAGGGAGCGAAAAAGGCGAGAACGCCCAAATCCTGAAACAGACCAAAGGAAAATCAATGAATTTTGCCTCTTGGGGCCCTTCTCAGAAGTGCTCTTGGAGGCTTCTTGGGCCGTCTTGGCTGCCTGCTGGGCAGTCTGGAGGGCGTGAAGGCGTTTTGAACATATAGTCTAGCGATTTGGGGCCGGGCCCTCTTGGACCGTCTCGGAGGCCTCTTGGGGCACTCTTGGTCTGTCTTGGTACTCTCGGAGGCCCCGGGACCCCCGGAAGGGGATGCGCATCTGACCCCCGCCCTGCCTGAATACAACATGGCCCGCTGAGGCCCTTGAAGAAGCAAGAGGTCTAATTACTCGTAGATGTCGGAAGTGGCGTCAGCCACGGGAGTAAAGCACCTGCTGTTTTTTCCTGGATTGAGTTGTTACCCAGTACATCGACTCTGGCCTGAGTCCGCAGGCTGTCTGTAAGAGCCCGCCCGCCCGTCCTGCCGAGCCCAAATGGCTGAGGACGGAGGGCGCTGCACAAGCCGATCTCACACGTTCTCCAACGTCGCAATCAAGCAGGGGGAGAAGAAGTCGACTCGGCACTCTCCTGGAATCTCTCCCAGAACCACTGCACAAAATCGGTAGTAACCTCCTGGCCAGAACATGGGGGCTTAGGACGTCGACTGTCTAGAATCTTCTTGGCCCGCCTGTGCCCTGTCTCCCTAATTAGAGCTGTGCGTAGCCCGCCTAGCTTTTAGCAGAAGAGATTCGCTCTCGCCCCGCCGACCAAAAAAGACTGTCTAGAATCTTATTGGCCTCTTCATTGTTTCCCTCGTGAGTCTCGTCGAAGATCCTTTTGTGGAGCGCTGATCTCTTTCGGGCTGAAAGGAACCTCTCGTCATGCACTATCTTCCAGCGCTGCTGTCATAGGAAGGCGTGGAGCACGTTGAACACCTACTGCCTCGCCTTCGTCATACCATCAGCCAACTGGGCGTGGCTGTGCACCCACCGGACAGAGGTGTTGCCCTCCTCACGGGCACTCCTCAAGGCGAGCGCCTCGATGGCCGTTCGCCTCTCGTCGAGCCCGAGCCCCGCGGATTCGTACTCGACCACGCCGTCGTAGAAGGCCTTGCAGTCCGTGGCCAGGGTAGCCAGCACCTCGTAGGTCCTTCGACCGGTCCTGCAAATCAAGTCCCCCGTAGAGAACCTCATACAGCACGAGCCGAACCATCATCTGCTCTCCCTCCGCGTCACTGGCCTCCTGGATGTCAGCCGCGAGGCTCGACCAGGCAATCCGTTACAGCTTGCGAGACCCCCAGTCCAACACCGTAAAGTTGGACACCTCGGAGAAGGGCTGCTCCGCGTTGCTGAGGGCGGTCACGTGGCCCCTCGGAGAGTGTCCGTCAAGGCGGCTGGCCCAGGCCGCGTCGCACCAGGTGATGACACGCAAGTCGGCCGAGGCAACTCCACATCCTGGGAGAACGTGCTTGAAGGTCCAGATGCCGTCGGTCCGGTTGAACTTCGCTATTTTTGTGATACCGTTAGCGATGAGGAAGAGACGGTATTCGCCACCGAGAATCTTGCTCCGAGCGTCCGCCACCCAAGCTGAAACCCATGGTAGGGCATTCACTCCCAACTAAGATAGCTCGCCACACCAAGTCCTTAAGATACTCTGGTCCTGTTCGGTCAGCTTGGAGCTCGGGAGTTCTCGAGGGTTGCTGGGACGGATCTCCTTCAGCTTGTCAATGTAGGCACCGCTTGTGCTTAAAGAACCAGTTCTCGTTCCGCTCGGTCACGACACCACTCTGCTCAATGGTCTCGGCGCTCATCTCCATGTCCTCCCAGGTGCCGTAGGTACAGCTCCTTGATGTCCTTCAGGGCCCTGGCCCAAGCGGGATGACCGCGGTTACCACAAATGATAAAGTTATCCACGTGACACATGACGAGTCCGGTCAGCCGCCCTGACGAGCGACACCAGAGGCTCCAGAGGCAGGGCTCCAACGAGCAGGCCGACAAACCCAGCATTGCGAAATCTTGCTTCACCGTCTGCCACCACTGCCGAGGAGCTTCTCCCATGCCGCAGCCAGGCTTCGCCGCACGAAGGACCTCGCCGGCTCTGACCCCTACGGCCGAGGAGAGAACCTCGTCCGCCTCGACGAAGAGATCCTTCTTCAGGTCGTTCGCCTGGAGGACGGCGCTCGTCACGTCACCCTTGGCCAGGCTCCAGTCGTTGGTGGCGGCCACGGAGAGTAGAATATTCCGTGCCCGACGACAGGCCGTAGGTGATGCCGTAGGCTCCTTTCCAACGTCTTTTGTCTGGTGGCCGAGGCGAACGAGGCGGGCCCTGGCGGTACCATCGGCCTTCTGGAGCACCCAGTGGCAGCGTATTTCGTCGGCGGGGTCCTGGACCTCGCTCATGGGGACGGGCTTCAGTCCCTCGTACCGCTTCCAGTTGCGTACCTCCTTGTGCCTGGCCCCGCGGAACTCGGCCTCCTCCTGCGCACTCAGTTTCGTCCAATGGAACTCGATCTTATCCTTGTGCTTGCCTTTGGTTCGCCACGAAGCAGTCCACCATGTGAGCTCGAAGCCGACGACCTCGCTGACTGTCCCGGAACTCCTCCTTCAGCATCTCGGAGTAGACGGTCATCCCCTCATCGATGCACCCCAGCTGGTCGATCGGGGGATCATTGCTGGACTTGAGGTAGCCGGCGAACATCTCGGAGTCTGACTCGTTGCTCGGCGGAGGCCAGGCCTCCGAGTACGGCCCGGGTCGCTCGCGATGTCGGAGCTGCGAAGGCGTGTGGGAGCTCTCCTGGTCGGTCTTTCGGAAGGCGCGCCAGCGTGGTCCGGGTGCTCCCGTGCGGGTTTCCCGCACGGTCCGCAGGAGGTTCCGATGCCGTCGGCGGCTGGGATGTGTGGTTACGGAGGGCCTCGATCGTTGGTGCGCTCGATTGGCGACCGGGAGGAGACGTCTCAGGGGCGTAGGTTCGCCAGCTGGTTCTTCCGCAGGTCCCGTCTCCGTGTCGGCCGCTGGCCGTGGCGGTTCCTCCTCCATCTCCTGGTCCTCGGCCGGTGCCGAGGCCTGGGGCTCGGAGTTCCGCAGCTCAGGTCGACTCTTGGAGGTCAGGTCGTCGAAGGTGCTGCGGCGCGCGAGCTCAATGATGTCGGACATGGCGGCCCCGAGGTTCTCGCGACTCCTGAGCTCCACAACCACACGCTCGGCCACCGTGGCTGGACGCAGTTGCCCGGGCGCGCCTCGGAGGAGCGTGTCTCCATGCGAGGTCCGGACCGCAGAGGAGGGTCGAGAATGGCCCTCGAGGATCCGCTGCTCCTGGACCAGCATCCGGGCTGGCCAGTACCAGGTGGCCTTGACGGGTCCACGTCCCTTGCGCCAGCAGTAGCAAAGTTCACCGGTATGCCATCGAGAGGTCGTCCGATTCCGAGCCTGCTTGGCATGACGACGGCGCTCCGAGCACTCCACTTCGAGGAAGCTCTGGCGAGCCAGAATGTGTCGCTGTTCTCGACTCTCGCCGTTCTCATCGTCTCGTGAATGGATTGCTCGAAGCCTGGGCTCCACCAATCCCGAAGACGTGCATGAAGGGCGAGTGGCTCCCGACCTTGTCCAGGTCGTTGATAGCGTGAATGACCCGGCTGATCGCTTCGTCCACGTCGCAGCCATGGTTGTGCATCCGAAACCTGGTGAGGGTCCGCTTGTGAAGATCTGTATTCGTCGTTCCACCCCGCCCATCGGCCAGTGGGCCTCTCCAGGGGCGGTGAATACCTCCATGTCTCCTGTGCTGCACCAGCTCTTGGTGAGCTCAGCGCGGTGGCACCCTTCCTCATCACAACGGACGAGGCGCGGGTTCCTGTAGTGGTCGGCCCAAGACCTCCAGGTCTCCACGACGTCTGCGGCGGTCGGATTCCCTGAGCGCAGGGACTTGTCCCCGTGGTTTCAGACCTGGGTGAGGCCGCCGCCCTCGTCAAGGTTGAGGGTCATCATGTAGGTCATGTCGTCGATTGAATCGGTTCATTCCAAGCCATCGCTACCCATGACCTCGAATACCTCTGGGATCTTGATGCAGGCGGCTGCTCTCACGGTCTTCGGCTGCATGGTAGAATTGCACGCGTGGCACTTGAACTTCCGGGCGAGCTTCAGCGCCTGGAGTCTGGCGCCCGAGTTCTTCAGTATCTTCAACACGGTGCGGGCGCTGACGTGTCCTTGGTTCTGGTGCAGTCGGCTGAGGCGCTGCTCGATATCGAGGTCCTCCTTGGACGTCAGCTTCCCTTGATCCTTGGCCAGCTGCATCGCGTCGGTCTCGTCGGTGTCTCTGTCGGCGTCGGCTGGGTCCTCGTCCTCCATGGTGTCTCATCGTCGTTAGCTGGGAAGATCTCCTCCTCAGCGAGCGGCTCAAGCTGCTCGGACAGGAGGAGGGCCTCCGCACCCGCCTGGGCGCCACCCCCAGCCTTGAGCACATGTTTGGCCCAGGCCCTGCACATCGGCGCGGGGTAGAACGCAGTCGAGGCCACCACCTTGCCGCCGATGATCTCGCCATGCTCATGGTTGTCGTGTCGTCCTGGCCGGTCGCCGCATCGCTTCCCGATCGCCTTCGTGAGCTCGGGATCCGTCGAGCAGATCCGCCACACCCTGTGAAGCAAAAGGCCGCTGCGAGGACATCGAAGTCCGTAGGTGTAGCCGGCCATCAGCGTCGTCTCGTAGAGCTGTTCCCAGATCCGACTCAGCGCCAGAGGAGAACGTCTCCAGCTCGACCTGGAAGGCCACGGCGAGGACGGTCTCACAGCCAGCTTGAATACGGCGTGCCTGCTGCATCTCGCGAAGCCGAGCCTTCTCCTCGGTCGTTGCCTGGCTCCACTTCTGCAGCCGACAGTCCGCGGTGCAGGGCGGACTCGTGACGACGCGCCGCGGCCCATGGAGCCGCACCCGGTGCACGAGCTGGCGGGCGCTGGTCTTGGTGCCGAGGTCGTAGCCGTTGCGGAGCCCTGCGCGGAAGGAGCACCCGTTCCGCTGGCGACTTTGCTTGCCGCAGCATCCGCACCTCTGATGCTCGCCCCCCTTGGACTCGGCCGCGTAGATTTTGAGGGCGGTGGGATTGAGGCCGAGGAAGGCCGCGCTGACCGACGGGGTGCCCAGGTCCTCGTAGTTCCCTTGGCTTCCTTGTCTGGTGAAGGAGGAGGTGGCGTACCCGACAGCGAGGAGCCCGAGCCACTGCCGCATACCATCAGCGGTTGAACATGGAGTGTTATGAAGACATACTGGTTGAACAGCTTCCCGTGCCAAGACCGCTTTGGAGGAGAACGTCTCGCAAGGGTCAGGTGGTCTGTTTCCGACTTGCCATGGAATCCGAAGCTTCACTTCTTGGGACTGTCTCTCGTTTCTGGTCAGGTCTCGTAGGCGATGCTGAGGACCGTTTCCGAGGAGGACCTGGTTGGGAACTGCTCGCACGGGGGGCCTTGTAGGGAGTACAGAAAGGGGCGCTTCGGAGGAGGACTCGTAACGGAAGTGCTCGAGGAGGTGAGAGGATCGCTCACGAGGGACACGCCGCTTGCTCCACTCATACGAGAACGGCGCCCATGCACCGTACCATGTCTTTGGACTCCGTTTCGGCCCCGCTCCACATCGGTACGGTGCATAGTTTGTAGGGCCCTGGGGGCCAGAAAACTATGCACCGTAGCATTCCTGGGTCGAGGAGCGACGACGCCTCGAGAGGCGCCAACGCGGTACGGTGTACACATGTCGTCCGCGAAACTCAGGGGCCCCCCGACGGACGGTGACGGTCGTTTTGACGGGGATCCATCCGGGGGTGCCGCCCCCGTCCGTCGGCCAGGCCCGCCGGCTCGGCGCCCGGCTCCTCCGGGGGGCGGGGGCCTGTCCGCCAGGGCCAGCACCTCCTCGATCTCGCAGCAGCGCTCGGCACCGCCCGGGCGACGGGCTGCCACCGCCCGGGGAGTCGTCACGTCGGCCGCCAAGTTGCCGCTGGGGGTGCCCCTCGACACTGGAGGAGATTCGGCGAGATCTCTGGCAGCAGCACGTGGCCGCTGCCACAATCGATCACGGCGCTCGCGCTGTGAGCCCCGAGAATGTCCATGGCGATCAATGGCGGTACTTCGTGATCCATGATGGACAGCTCCACGGACTCCTTCCCGTCTCCAAGGAAGATGTCGCCAGTCATCGTACCCATCGCGTTCTTCCTCACGCCGTCGCCGAAGGTGAACGTCCAAGTGGTGTCCCGTAGCTCGAACTCCTGTCCGAAGCCCTCCAGCAGGTCGCAGGCCAGGTACTCGGCGATCGTCACACCGATAAGGCTGCGAGTGGCACCGCAGTCTAGAATGGCCCAGATGCCGCCTTCGTCGTCCATCACCAGCACCAGCTCATCCAGCTCCACGACTCCACGAGCGCGAAGCCAGTCCCGCTCACCTCGCTGTTGGACGCCTGGCCGCGGCCCTTGGTACTCGATCTGGGCAGTCCTTCGCCTGCTGTCCAAACTTGCGGCAGGCCAGGCACCCGATCTTGTGGCCATCGCGCCCAGGTCCCGCCCACGCTCCGTACGGTGGGGTCGCCGGCCCCGCTGCGGAGGCTGCCGCTGCTCACGAGGCCTCCAGGGCCCGGGGCGCCGGCACCGGGCACCAGTCTCTCGCGACTTCCTTAGGCGGCGGAGGAGGTCCCTGATTGGCGGCCTGGAAGCCCCCATCGGCTCGAACTCCGCGAAGACTCCATCCTCTGGGTCGCCGGGATCTTCCATCTCGCCGAGCCGTGCTGCGTCATCCTCGTCCGCGAGGCTCACCGGCTGGTCCACGACGTCGGCGAGGTCCGGGCGCTCGTCAACCTCGTGGATGTCGTCGCCGTCGGGCTCCTCTGTCTCGCCCAAGAAGCCGGCGCGCCTGTCGCTCTTCCGCTCCTTGACGCCGTCCAGCTCCTCGTTGGCCTCTGCAGGGCATCGCGCGCACAGTGCCTTGTACTCTGTACGTCCCGTCGAAGGCGTGCTCCCCTCCCGCCGTACGCCGTAGCGGCCACCTCGCCACGGGCCACGGGCGTCAGCCGCGACCGCCGAAGGGCACCACCAGGTCCGCAACGGGAGGGGCAATGACCTCCTTCACCAAGCTGTCGACCGCCTGTCACCGAGCTGTCGACCGCCTGCAGCTGTCGAGGTCCCTCTCGTGAGCTTTTCATCGCGCCGTCCAGTGCGGGAAGGTCTCTCCGGCCTCGCGCTGCAGCTTGTTGCAGAACTTCTCTGCTGAGTTCCCTTGGAGAGAAGGAACGAGAACACGCGCGACCAGCCTGTCAGCTCGCCGTCTTTCACCTCGTCGATGCTGTCTATGTCGCGGCAATTCTGAATCAGCCGTCTCGCCCTGGACCCAAATGCTCTCACGAGCTGGGGGCCCACCACCTATCTGTCCTGGAGCTTGTAGCTCTTGCTGAAGAGTCCAACGTCGAGCTTGTAGGCCAGCAGCTTGTCTAGTTCTCCGCCCCACGACAGTACCTCAAGTCGTAGAGTGCCTCCAGCTCCATTCCCCTGCTCTGTCGATGCCGATGTGGTCGTCATCCGCCGTGATCTTGTCACAGCTCCGCTACTGGTCTGAATACGACAGGGCCCGCTGAGGCCCTCGAAGAAGAAAGAGGTCCACTCGTGGACGTCGGTAGTGGTGTCAGCCACGGGAGTAACGCACCTGCTGCTTTTTCCTGGATCGAGTCGCTACCCAGTACAACGACTCTGGCCTGCGTCCGCAGGCTGTCTGTGAGAACCCGCCCGCCCGTCCTGCCGCGCCCAAATGGCTGAGGACGGAGGGCGCTACACAAGCCGGTCTCACGCGTTCTCCAACGTCGCAATCAAGCCTGGGGCCCTCCCCCCCGGCAGGGGAGGCATCCCAGGGAGGAGGCTTCCCTTCGACTCCACTGCGACGTGGCTGGACTCCTCCCTCGCCGACAGGCTCGAGGAGGAGGGCGCCGGGAGAAAGGGACGACGGAGACGACGGCGGACGGAGACGGCGACTCGAGCCGACAGACGCCCCTCAGCGCACGCCGACCGGGGCCGGCGGGCTTCTTCGAGCACGCCAGGAGGAGCTTCGGGCAGGCGTGGCTGGACAGGCACGTGCACCTGTACGTGGCCGCGGGCGCCCCCCTGCTCGGGGCCCCGGCGGCGGCCAGGGCCACGCTGCTGGGGGACAGGATGGGCCTGGAGGCGTTCCTGACGATGCCCGAGGCCGCGCTCGAAGTCGAGCCCGTCCCTCCACAGGGGGCATATGCAGAACAAAAAGTCAAAAAGTGGTCTGGGGACCATTTTTTGAGTACTTTTTTGATCACTTTGGGAGTATTTTTTGGGTATCTTCAATTTTTTGTTCAAGATCCCCCTGTACGAGGACAGGCCCGACTCAAGGCCACGCTGATGGCACGCTCATTCAGCAGCTCCCCCTGGCTGTTCCCGATCGGCGAGCGGGCCAGCACGACGTTCTACCTGCGGCGGCAGAGCCTGCTGGAGGTCCGGGACTTCGTGGCGTGCCTGGAGGGCCTCGGCGTGGAGTCGAACAAGAACAGGATCGTGCTCGCTGTCGAGATCGACATGGGCCCCGGCTTTGCCGCGGAGTCGCTGACAACCAAGTCGTCGGTGACGTTCGAGGACCAGACGGCGACCTTCGATCCCGGCAGCAACCTGATGTTCTTCGGCTGCCCCGCGGACCTCCCGGAGGACGCCAGCATCAGGGTGATCGTGAAAGAGAAGGGGCTGCACGACGACAGCGTCGTCAACCCGCTGAAGAGGCTGAGCAAGGGGTTGGTGGCCGCCGTGCAGCTGGCGAGCGAGGCGGCGCACGGCCGCAGCGGCAGAGGCCGTGGGCGAAAGACGCACCCGTATCCGCGGCCTCGCGGGCCGGGCCCCCCGTGGCCGCGACCCCGCGGACACGGAGCGCTCGTGCGCGGAGGCTCCGCGCGGAGCGCCTCCGCGCGACCGTGCCCTCGCGGGGATCGCGCCCCGGAGTCCAGGCCCGCGAGGGAGTGGATGCGGACGTGTTGGCCGCTCGTGGAGAGGGGTACCCAAGGCCAGCACCACGGTTCGCAGGCTGGGGGAGCTCTTGCGGGTGGAGCCGGATGCCGACGGCTTCGTGCAGGCGAGCCTGCAGCTGGCCAAGCTGCACGCCTTCGGCCCGCAGACGGCGACGAAGGGAGACGGCTGGCTGAAAGGCTGTGTGAAGTTCAGGGTCAGGTGGCGCGATCCGAAGGCATTGCGTCTGGCCTGGCTGGGTTCCCAGGGACTCGACCAGTTCACGCCATCCAGTAGTGCAGGCGAGGGGGGCTTCCAGCTGCGGCACAATCTGCGCTCCAGAGCGGCATACGACAGCGTGAGCCACCTGGAGCTCCTGCAGATGGAGGGGTCTGCCACTCCCGCGGGAGTGAAGTGCCCAGATGTCATGAAGGTTTGGCGGAAATACTACGAGAGGGACAGTGCCTACAACCATAATGGAGCGGACGACTGCCCCCCTGTCCGCAACATGCTCGCTGTTCATGGCGTCAACGTGCCCACTGAGGTCGGATACGCCCTGAGAATCAACACGGTGCGCGCCAAGCCGAGCATGTTCAACACGCGATTCGTGCTGGACGACGAGGCCGAGCTGGTTGCACCAAAGAAGGGCATCGAGATGAAGGGCGGCACGATCTCAGAGGTTGCTGGCGGTGCAAGCCCCAGCGGCGACGGCACCGTCCCGCTGCACAGCCTCGAGCACTCCGAGGCCTGGCGAGGCCAGCTCAGGCTGAAGTCCGTGCGCCTGGAGTCCGTGGCGCACCGTGACATGCTCGCAGACCCGCAGTTCCACGAGGCGCTGCACGACGTCCTGTGGCCCATGGGCGGCTTCCTGGACCGCTGGCAGTCGTCGACGAACGGGCACGAGTGGTTCGACTTTCCCGCGGCCGCCTCCTCGCAGCTGGAAGCCGCTCGGACTGCTGGCAAAGACAGCATCGAGCTGAGCATCAATAAGCATCCGGGGGGGAAAACACACACAGACACAATTAATCGTCGACTACCAGGAAAAGATAGGAAGCTATGGGACGTGGGGGGGCTTACGAGCGGTGGTGTCAGCATCGGCGCCCGTCACAATACGCTGCACGCTATTGCGCTCTTCTGCAGGCAAATGCAGGGCTAGTCCTTCAGAATCCAATTGAGTCCGTACAGCGTGCATGCACTCACACATAAGCATCTCGTGAAGTATATCCGCCAGGGGTTGCCCAGCGAAAACAGAACGCTGTGGTGAGGAAACCTGATCGCAGCCCTCGCACAGGAACCAGGGAGTGTGTTAGCATTGTGAAATCTGAGCAGCCGTGTGCGCATGTAGCGTGCCGTTCACCACTTGCTGTTCCACGACGGGTACCTGCTCGCGTATGCGTCGTGCAAGCTCATGCATGGCACTCGGCGGTAGCCCTGCTGCCCTGACAATACAAGCAACAGCATCATCGTCGACTGGCGAGCGAAGGAGTAGTTCGCGTAGGGTCTGGTAAAAAGCCTGCACCACATCCAGGAATAACGCACCAAAAGACAAGGCACGAGCAGAAACAACTGCTTGCGCAAGACGAATGATGACCGACGCGTGTCCAGTACCCTGGCCTGGGATCCCCCCGAACTGTGTATCCCCTGCAGTGGCAAGTTGTGATGGCATCAGCCTAGTCCGCAAGCATCTCCGCGATGTCTTACCCAGCTGTGAGGACACCAGGATAGAACGAGACCTGACACAGGCAATAGGGTCGGCGGTGATGGACTTCAGCAGATCGCGGTAGAAACCACCCTTTTAATGAACGGGCTCAATTTGGGTGACGGCGGTCTTGAGTTGTAGAGGGTAGTGTAGCGCCGCAAGCTCGGTGGCAGACGTGTGCACCAAGGCCCCAGTGAAGCCATCACACCCTGGGGCGTCACGCTTGGTCTGACGGCAAGCCTGTTGGAACTCCGCCAGGGTCGGCAAGGTTTCAATGGGTACAGGATCTGCAGACATCCGATCGCCGTACCACGCATGAACACATATGTGGCGGCCCACAAGAGCCCCTGCCACCTCCAGAAATTGGGAATAATACCCTGTATCTGATACATGGCACGCGGGGTGCCTACCAAGGGACAATCATTGGGCTGCAGGTGGCGGACATGTCTCCCAGGGACCGGCACACGACACAGTCGCCAAAGGGCCTCCAGATGTGCGGTATGAAAGGGAGGAACGTACAACCTTCCTTTCATGTCCTGCAAGGGTTGCGCAAAGGCCACAGCAGCCTCGATAATCTGGGGCCCCACACATGCACTTGCCTCACACGCGTCTATGAATAGAGCTCGAGAGGGGCACTCTCGTACACTCCTCCACTTCCTTCCCATCGGTGGCCCACGCACAAAAGGCAGCGGCAAGCAGCAGTTGATTCAGTCGTCGTCGTAACAATCGTAGCTTTCGATGTCCAGACGAACGTCGATCCATTAAAGTCAGAGGGCGAACCGAGAGCCAGGTCTGTCGTGGCAACCGTCCCGTGGGTGACTTCTGGACAGGGAAGCACTTGGCGACCGCTCGAGTGAGCTCATCGTTTAAATGTTGTGCGTGAGCATCCGGGTGACACTGGAAAGCGGGCCGTGGGATGTCCCTGATCATGGCCACAAGCTTGGTACGAAAACCCAGAAAATATGGCGAAATATGGTGAATAATCTTATTTGTTTCTATTTATTTGTGTGTCCCTGGGCCCCTTCAAGGTATTCCGGGGCAGTCCCATGCAAACGGCACGTCTAACCATTGGCTGGGGAAGCTATTCTCACTGCTGACCGTTCAGTTGCGTATGAGGATGCTGGGCTGCGCCACGCTCCCAGCTCTGGGCGCCGCATATGGCAAATTCCTCGACCGGCTGTCTGAAACGTGCATTTCGTTCGCCATGCCGATTTTGCCTCAGAGAGTGGGTCCAGCGTGCCGAGTTTTACGTTGGGCACGGCTCACGCGCACGCCTCACCCACCTCCCGAGACAAGGGCGTACAACACATGCCGAGGGACCCCTGTGCGGGACTTTCTTGGCGGTTTTTGAGAGAGAGAGAGAGAGAGAGAGAGAGAAAAAAAAGAAAAGAAAAGAGAGAGAGAGAGAGAGAACGAGGGAGAGAGAAAGAGAGAGAGAGCTACTCATCCTACTTCTCTTTATTCCCAACCCTCCTGTGTTGGGTTCTCGTGTTGAATAGAGCATAGTTGTTTCCACTCCTCCTCCCCAGTCCTCCCCGGTCCTCCCTCCTCCTCCTGCGCTGCTCCATGGGTGGCTGCGAACTGTGCGCAACTGTCGCCACATTCGTGGGCTCCTGGGAGGTCCAGCGGAGTCGGGAGCCACGCAGACCCAGCGGAGACCTCGCTGCTCCCTGGGTGGCTGCGAGTTGCAGCACCGTCGCCACTTTCGTGGGCTCCTGGGAGGTCCAGCGGAGGTGGGGGCCACGCGGACCCAGATGTGACTCGCTGCTTCCTTCGTGGACGACAGCACTTCTCTTCTGTTACTGCCCAGGCGGGGATCAAAGAGGCCTTCTCCGAACCCTCCGGTGGCAGCTGCACTGTCTGCGGGTGCGGACGCCGGCCTTTCGCTGGCCCTTTGTCGAACAGCTGGGTCAGAACGGTGACATCATGGTGACAGCACGCCGAAGTTCCGCGATTTTTGGCATGACATTCTAACCAGGAAGATGAGAGCGGGTACGGGGCACGATCGCAGGCGATCGCGCCTCCATATGTTGTGTGAGCGGATCAGAGGATCACAGACCCCGGCGCCAAATGCACAGTCTGCAGTTTATCCAACATTTGCTCCAGGCAACCCAGACAAACCCAGACCCCACCTCCGAAATAACTAAGAGACTTGTCGGCGAGATCACGCAGCATGTCCATACTGAGTTCCAGAAGCAACGTCCTAGAACAGTCAGTGTATACCGTATCTGGTAGCGCTTAGGCTAAGTTCCGCGAGCAACTACAACCTGAGCAGCTGTTGCTACAACGATGGCAACTACGTGCGTCACACCTACACTGGGGAGAGATGGCGGGAAGGGAAGGCGAAGCTGGATTGGGAGGGGGGAGTAGAGGAGGGGCAGGCTGGGGACAGGGGAGTGGTGGGGAGGAACATGGAGGAATGGCAAAGGGGAAGTCGAGGAAGGGGGGAAGAAGGTATGGGGACGGGGACGGAGTTGAGAAGCGGACAGGACACGTCATGAGATGTGTAAGGTTGGGGAGGGGCGGTTTGGGGAGGGGGGTCAAGGGAACTGGAGGGGGGGCTGGTACATTCCTTCGCACGGAGCCGCCCACACGCAGCCTACTTGAGCACGTGCCCGAGGTACACCTACCACGTAGACCTGAAGGCGCTCGTGCAGCGCAATGTGTCGACCGGCAGGGAGCGGCAGGTCCGCAGGCTGCTGGTCCCCGCTGGCGAGCTGTGCGAGGCCTCGGAGCTCGTCGTCACGCCCTACCGGGGCTGGCCCGACGGCGGCTTTGAGCGCGAGGCCGTCGTCGCCGAGGGGTGCAGCGAGGCGGAGGCCTGCTCCTGCGCGCGCCGGGCCGTGCGGGAGGACCCGGCAAACTGCGTGGCGGAGGTCGTCTTCCGCGTGTCCTTGACGGGCGGGCGCTGGCTGGCGAAGGCGTTCACGTCCGGGCCCGAGCAGTGCATGACCTTCGCGCGCGGCCACGGCAGGGGCTACATGGTTTACAGCAGCGAGGCGAGGTCGAAGCCCCCCGCAGCCTGAGCAGCAGACGTTCTGCTCTGGACCCGGGGGAGGAGGAGGAGGAGGGGGATGAGGGGGAGGAGGAGGAGGAGGAGGAGGAGGAGGAGGAGGAGGAGGAGGAAAAGGAGGAGGAGGAGGAAAAGGAGGAGGAGGAGGGAGGAAGAGGAGGCAGGAGGAGGAGGAGGAGGAGGAGGAGGAGGAGGAGGAGGAGGAGGAGGAGAGGAGGAGGAGGAGGAGGAGGAGGAGGAGGAGGAGGAGGAGGAGGCCCCCGACCCCGCGCTACAGCGTGCCAGTGACGCGCGGGCGACCCAGACCTCTCCCCAGCGCGGCGGGTGCCCCCGCCCGGCGTCAGCAAGGCGCGCCAGCACCAAGAGAAAGGACTCCCCTCCTCCTGCTCCCACTGCCTCCTCTAGCTCCTCCTCCAGGTCCTCCTCCTTGTCCTTCTCCTCTTCCTCCCCCCTATCAGGGCAGCTTTACTCGAACGGCAGGTCCTCTTGCCTTGCCTGCTTCTTCCCCTGTCCTGGCTAGTCCAGAAAGGGGGGTTGCTTCCAGTGGCTGTTCGGCTCAAGGTTGCAACCTCCGTACCCGCCCTACATGTATATTTCATGGTAAGACTCGCTTCTCATCGCCTTGCATTCCTTTACGGAAAACCATCCTCACTCCCCATGTCTAGGTGGTAGCGGGGCAGGTTCGCCCCTGCTCCAATATCACGGCCGCTATGTCCCGCCTCGCCTCGATGGCCATGGCTCCCACCCTCCGTTGCTTTACGTCGCGACGTTTGCAGGTGACGGCATTCGAGGGCACGTCACGGCTGAGCCAGCCCATCCGCGGGAACACTACGTCGTGCCGGTCTACATGCCGCTCTACATTCCGTCTACATCCGCCTTCAACAGCATCGCCATCGTACACCTTTTTTCCGTTCATTTAGCCAGGAAGCGTTGCTCTAGGGTCCTTCGTGGCATCCGCCCATCCGCCAGGACCAGTGACCAAGAACGTGCACAACCAGTACTTCATCAAGGACAATATCACCAAGATCTACAAGACCGCTCTGCGACCCATTCCGGGCTGGGCATGTTCGGACTGTGTCCAGGCAGCTCGCGGACCCCAAACTGTCAGTGCCCCCGCCCGTGGGGGTAGCCTCAAGTGTGACAGTTGCTCGACACAGCGTTTACATGTGCGGTGTCAGACAAAACCGCGAACTTTTTGGGACCGAGTTTTGAGAACCCTGGGAGGAGCAAGCTGGTGCCGAGCGGGGATGCAGTGGGGAGTGCGGGAATTGCGTTCTCGGCCCTCCGAAGTAATGCAGAGTGGTAGTTGGGGTGTCTTACGGTCACAGGTGCTGATTGTAGTGACCTCTGGCCAGTGCCGCCGATCCGGGGTGCGCCGGGTGCCAGTGGACGTGGGCGACGACGACGATGACGACGATGACGACGACGTCGACGACGACGACGACGACGACGACGACGACGACGACGACGACGACGACGACGACGACCACGACCACGACCACGATTGCGACGACGGACGACCAACGACCCCCCCCCTGCAGAGCGGAGGGGGGGCGAAAGCGCCGATTCCCTTCCCTCCCCCCTGCAGAGCGGAGGCGGGGGCGAAAGCGTTGACCCCCCCCCCGGGCAGAGCGGAGGCGGGGGCGAAAGCGCCGACCCCCCCCTCTGGCACAGCGGAGGGGAGGGGCGAAACGCTGACAACCCCCCCCCCCTTCCTAGCAGAGCGGAGGGGAGGGGCGAAAGCGCTGACCGCCCCCCCCTCCTGCAGAGCGGAAGCGGGGGCGAAAACGCTGACCCCCCCCCCTGCAAAGTGGAGGCGGGGTAGGCGAAAGTGCTGACCCCCCCCCTCCCCGGCAGAGCGGGGGCGGGGGCGAAAGCCTTGGCCCCCTCTCCCTGGCGGAGCGGAGGTGGGAAGGGCGAAAGCGCCGACGCCCCTCGCCATGCGCAGCGGAAGCGGGGGAGGCGAAAACGTTGACGTGCCCCCTTCCAACCTGCAGAGCGGAGCTCCAGCGAAGCTCGAGCTCGCGTTTCTGCTTCGCGCTGGACTGGCGGATTTTGCAAACGGGCCAAGAACTATGAGTCGCCAGCCGTGTCATGGGCATGGCGACCGGGACGCCATCGCTCCGAAGCGCTACAGCTTGAGACCCGACCCTTTGCTTTACCTCCTCAGACCCGCCGGCCGGGCAGGACGGGAACCCGATGCGCACTCCTCTAGGCGATCTTGCAATTGCGGGTGCTCAGGGCAATGGCACAACACATAGGAAGTCGACGAAGATCATTCCCGTGACGGTGTCGCGGGATGCTTCAAGTACCGTGAGCACCACAGTGACACGACAGAAGCATATGCCCAATGCGCTGACGAGGAGATACACATCCGGGGCAAGTATCTTCGGCGACTCATGAAACGCCGCTTGAGGATCCCCAGCCTCCAGCGCCTCTACGACATTTGGAGGGGGCTACATTCCGGATGGACGGCCATCGTCGCCATGTGTGCCATCGCAACTTGCAGCGCCTGTGTGGGCGCAGGTGGCGGCAGCAGCAACATGCGCCACCTCCGCACTTGGGGGCCCGAGCACCAGGCTCACGTACCTTTCCAGAAATATGTACGCGAGCTGATGATCTGGTTAGTGGAGAACTCAGACCTCAACGAGTTTCGCCAGGCGACCTACGTCTCGTCGCGCCTTGCTGGCGTTGCGCGCGAGTGCGTGGACGAGTGGCCGCCGGCTGTTTTGAGCCAAGAAGCTCTCGTCATGGCAACCCAGTGCCACCGATGACCTTCCCAACGCACAGCTTGGCCCAACGATGGGGCCAGCTGGGCGAGGCGGAGCGCACTTCGGCACTGTCGGCTCGGATGAGCTTTAACCGACTGTCGCTGGAGCGCACCGGCAACCTCCTGACGAGGTTTGACATCCTTTGCAACTGGGCACAGCCAGTTGGTCAACTCGTGATGGGCTACGAGGGGCTCAGCTGCCTCCTACTGCGCGCCGTTGGCGTGTCGAATATTCAATTCACCATGCCCCTGCAGCGCCGCGAAATGGCCCGCCCCGCGAACGTTCAGCAGCTCGCCCATGTGACGGGCCAGCTGAGACTTGGGCGCATGATAGAGGGATCGCGAGGCAACCTCGCCTCGGCGGTCCACTCTGCCCAACGGCGCACGTTCCTCGCGGGTGTGCCCGCGCTGGAGCAGAGCTGGGGCGGCGTGGGCCCTGCGGCGCCGGGGTCGGCACCGAGCCCTCCTGAGCCGGCCGAGGCCGTGTCGTGAGGCTGTGCCTCTAGCGCGGCAGCGCCGGCGCAGGGGGCGTGCCCGGCGGCGGAGATCGACTCGGGCGCCGGCGCCGACGCCGCCAGTTCACTCGGCGAGGAGATGGCCGCCGACGACCCCGAGCGACGCGGCATTCCCATTGGGAAACATGGTGCGCGCCTCTTCTGGGCCCGCGGGCGCGCCGAAGCACGCTGGCGCAGCTTCGACAGTCGCGAGCCCGCGCGCCGCGTCCGGGGGGCCATCGAACAGAAGGGCAAGGGCAAGGGCTCCAGCTGCCGCGCTGACCTTGCCATCCTGTCCAAGAGCGACCTCCGGGATACCTTCGCGGGCTTCGGGGGGGCAAGAGGAAGGGGGGGGTCAGGGCGCGGGCGTGGGGTCGGGCCGCCAGGACACCCCCGTGGGCCCTGACTGGGTGCGTCTCAGATGCCGCGAGTGCGATTCCGAGGAGAACCTGGTGCGCGATTGCTCCCGGCGCCGCCGACAAGGGCGCCCCGTCTTCCCTGGCGCCTGCGCCTCAGCACCACCATCGGCGCCGCCATCCTCACCGCTTGCTCTCCTGGGACAGGGCCGCCGGGGCCGACCGAGCAGCGGCCCGTGCCGGGGGCGTGTGCGGCTTGGATGGCCGGGGGCACCTCTGGGGCTCCTCGGCCCGTGGCCAGGGGCGCCTTGAACGGAGATCCAGTGCAGAGCGCTGGCCCCTGGATTGGCGGACAGCCAGCTCAGCGCCCGCGCCCGCGGCCGTCGGCGCCGGCAGCTGCGCCCTCGCCGCGGCCATCGGCGCCGGCTGCTGCTCAGTTCTTCGTCGGGCGGCTCACGGCGACCCAGTGGCCGCCGGCGTTGGACTGCTTGGGTCGGGGCGTCGTCGTCGTCCTCGTCCTCGCCGCGCGAAGCTGAATTGCGACGAGTGCGACAGGCGATGGCCACACCTAATGGTCCGTGCGCCAGCCTCTGCAGCGCCGGCGGCTCCGGTGATTGCGTCGCCGGGTTGCCCGGCAGCAGCGGGGGAGGCGCCGCCGTCCGCGCTGGCGTCGGGGGCGCCAGCGACGCCGGCAGCTCCAGCGCAGACGCAGCGGCACCACCGCCATTAAAGTGGTGGACGCAAGTGGGCGGTGCGTTCCCATTGGGGCAAACCCAGGGGTGCGACTGGATAAGCGACTTCAGCGCGCGTGCCGCCGCGCCTCCAACCCAGTCTGCCGACGTGCAGTTGCCGAGCTAGGGTTGCGCGCCATCAGTCTCAGCCCTCGGCGTCGGCGCGCCGCGTGGATCGAGCTACATGTCGCCGCCGCAGTCTTCGCCGACAGCCGCGTCGCCGCCGGTGCTGGAGTATGGCTGTGCTCGATCAGAACAGCCCCGTTAACGTGGGCGTCCGGCGGCGGACGATCAGAGCGCAGCGCGCGCTCGTCGCCGTCGACCGCGCGCGGCGACGGCGCCTCGGCGAGCTCCGCAGCGCGCAGCTGAGCAACGACGCCAGGCCGCGCAGACTTGGACGGAGACACCTGTTAATCCCCCCCCTGTGCCGGCCGCCGTGCTGACTGCCCCGCCCCCCTCAGTGGCGACGATCAGCGGTGATGATAGGAACGCGCCCCATCTGCCTAGAGGCATCCAGCCCGGCGAGTGGGCGGCGCGCCTGCAGCGCCGCCGCGTCCTGCATCAAGCGCGCCACCTGGACCTTTGCAGAACAGAGACGCCCTTTTGGTGTGCTGTCCGGCGTGCCGCGGACAAGCCGACGTCATCGCCGAGTTCCGCTTCTT